AGGATTTTGAGCATAACCTTGCTAGCGTGCGAAATGAGTGCAATTGTACGGTTGTTGGAGCATTCTTTGGCACTGCCTTTCTTTGGGATTGGGATGTAGACTGATCTTTTCCAGTCCTCTGGCCACTGTTGAGTTTTCCAAACTTGCTGGCATATTGAATGTAGCACCTTAACAGCATCATCTTTTAAGATTTTAAATAGTTCAGCTGGAATGCCATCACCTCCACTGGCCTTGTTGTTAGCCAGGCTTTCTAAGGCCCACTTGACTTCACTCTCCAGGATGTCTGGCTCTAGGTCAGCAACTACATTGTCTGGGTTGTCCGGGATATCCAAATCTTTCTGATATAATTCCTCTGTGTATTCTTGCCACCTCTTCTTGATGTCTTCTGCTTCTGTGAGGTCCCTTCCATTTTTGTCCTTTATCATGTCCATCCTTACACCAAAGGGTCCTCTGATATCTCCAATTTTCCTCTCTGGTTTTTCCTTTTCCTTTCCTTTATTTTCCTCTATTTCTTTGCATTGTTCATTTAAGAAGGCTCTCTTGTCCCTCCTTGCTATTCTTTGGAAGTCTGCATTCAATTTTCTGTAACTTTCCCTATCTCCCCTGCATTTTGTTTCCCTTCTTTCTGCTATTTGTAAGGCTTCCTTGGACAGCCACTTTGCTTTCATACATTTCCTTTTCTTTGGGATGGTTTTTATTGCTGCCTCCTGTACAATGTTATGAGCCTCCATCCATAGTTCTTCAGGCACTCTGCCCACCAAATCTAATTCCTGAAATCAGTTCTTCAATAGCACTGTGTATTCATAAGGGATTCAGTTTAGATTATACCTGACTAGCCCAGTGGTTTTTCCTACTTTCTTCAGTTTAAGCTTGAATTTTGCTATGAGAAGCTGATGATCAGAGCCACAATCAGCTCCAGGTCTTGTTTTTGCTGACTGTATACAGCTTCTCCAACTTTGGCTGCAGAGAATATAATCAATCTGATTTCGATATTGCCCATCTGGTGGTGTCCATGTGTAGAGTCGCCTCTTGTGTTGTTGGAAAAGAGTGTTTGTGATGACTAGCTTGTTCTCTTGACAAAACTCTATTAGCCTTTGCCCTGCTTCATTTTGAACTCCAAGGCCAAACTTCTCTGTTGTTCCTTTTATTTCCTGACTCCCAACTTTAGCATTCCAGTCCCCTATAATGAGAAGAACATATTTCTTTGGTGTCAGTTCTAGAAAGTGTTGTAAGTCTTCATAGTCAATTTCAGCCTCTTCAGCATTGGCGGTTGGTGCATAAACTTGGATTACTGTGATGCTGAAAGGTCTGCCTTGGATTCATATTGAAATCATTCTATCATTTTTGAGACTGTATCCCAACACAGTTTTTCCCACTCTTTTGTTGACTATGAGAGCTACTCCATTTCTTCTATGGGATTCTTGTCCACAATAGCAGATATGATAATCATCTGAATTGAATTCGCCCATTCCCGTCCATTTTAGTTCATTGATACCCAAGATGTCAATGTTTGTTCTTACCATCTCCTGTTTGACCACATCCAGCTTCCCAAGGTTCATAGATCTTACATTCCAGGTTCTTATGCAGTACTTTTCTTTGCAGCATTGGACTTTCCTTTCACTTCCAGGCGCGTCCGCAGCTGAGCGTCCTCTCGGCTTTGGCCCAACCACTTCATTAGCTCTGGAGCTACTTGTACTTGTCTTGCGCTCTTCCTCAGTACCATGCTGGACACCTTCTGACTTGAAGAGCTCATCTTCCAGTGTCATATCATTTAGCCTTTTGTTTCTGTTCATGGAGTTTTCTTGGCAAAGATACTGGAGTGGCTTGCCAGTTCCTGCTCCAGGTGGATTGCATTTAGTCAGAACTCTCCACTATGACCTGTCTGTCTTGGATGTCCCTGCACGGCATAGCCCATAGCTGCTCTGAAAGACTCAAGCCCCTTCGCCATGACAAGGCAGCAATCTGTGAAGGGGTCTTTGGACTGTAGAATGGGCCAATTTGGCATCCTGATAAAGCTGCCAGGCGCTGAGCCAGGTCCTTGCTGGACTTCCTCAGAGTTTCTTCTTTGAGAGATTGGAGGAACTTCTCATCAGATTTTTAAAGTTTTCATAGCCTTCCAGTCCTTTTTTTATCCTTGACCTCTCCTGAGTCTTCAAATTTCTTTATAACAGCTTGAATACTACATCTTGAGTATCCAGTTTGTTTGTTGATTTTCCTTTGAGGGTGGCACTGCTGTTGCAAAAGTATGATTTTATGTCTGTCAGATTCTGTGACCTTTGGCATTTTGAATGGAACTATGATATTGAATGTCAGTCTTATTAGTAAACTTCCAATGAATTAAACTCATACAACATGTATATGTAATGTAATAGACCTTTTTTCACAGCAGCCATTTTGACATGAAAGAGTAGGACAAATAAAGGTGTTAGCAATGACAACGATTCGGGTTCCATTCCATTTAGGTTTATGGGAACCAGGTGCCTGCTATTGCTCAAGTGTAAGGAGAAGTCACATTAAATACTTGCCAGTTTAGCCTACAGAAGCTGTTTTTTCTGATTTTTTTCCCCTGGTTTTAAATACTGCATACAAATGTCCCGCATTTTCTGTATTCTAATAAAGAGACTGAGAAATAATTATATATGGTAACTGTATCATTGCTAAAACAACAAATCTAATGGTGGCCGAAGACATCTGTGCAGTACTTACTTACTTACTTACTTACTTACTTACTTACTTACTTACTTACTTACTTACTTACTTACTTACTTACTTACTTACTTACTTACTTACTTACTTACTATCTATCTATCTATCTATCTATCTATCTATCTATCTATCTATCTATCTATCTATCTATCTATCTATCTATCACAGTAATGCTCATTCCCCTTTTTCAAAAATAGAGTGATCACAGTAATACATATATAGCTATCACAGTGTGCTGATTTCACACCGAAATAAATAAATAACATTAAAAAGTGATGTACCTTACCTAACTGAACCATCTGGAATATTTGGAACATACAGTGTTATAGGGAAAAGTGAACGACTTGAATTTTTCAAAGTTGCCATTGCACACAAAGCCTCCGATTCACTACGAGGTGCAGAAACTTTCATACATCCAAGGTAGGTCAGTTTGTTGAACGATACACTGTCTTCTTCTGAGGGTGTAACAGGAAGACAGGATCTCTGAGACAGAGCTTCTGAAAAATAATAAAATTCAACAGTCATATCCTGATTAAAATAATATGCTTCAGGAGTCCCTCAAGTCTATCTGAAGTATGCAGACGATCAATGGCATATTGCAAAAACGTCTGCACTTGTTTCCAAAACACACAACAAAACTGAGATTATATTTTTACTCTCCAACAGCCTTACATTGTGTGAATGTTTGTAAGGTATTATTTAACCTCTTCCCAGTTTGCCACAACAATCAGCAAGAATCTACAAACTGAGTATTCAAGCACTATTTTAAAGGATAAAGAGTACTTGCTGGCTATTCTGCCATTAGTGAACTTTTCTTGTAGATGCCCAAAGGTCAAACAGTAACTTCTCATTTCTCCTCTTTCTCCACCCAACTGAAAAAAATCTTTTAATTTTGAATTCTTTTCAACATCTGGAACAGTACATTTTCACAGCTTTTCCCAAAGGTTTTATCTAGTATGTTAGCTTCAACCATCAGTTTACTGCTTTTTCATGCAACAAAGTTCAGTCCATGGTGTGGGTACAGTACAAGAACACCTAACAGCAAATTTCTGTGTTTAGTTATCTTGAATGTCTATTTCATAGAGGAAATATATATATTTATTATTTCATCTATCTGTAAATTAATACATAAAAACAGTAATGCAACACTAAGCAAATATTGTTTACAAAACAAGCTCTAGAGAAGGGTTTGGACAAATACCTCAGTTCTTACTATGGACGTATTATGAACCAAGCCTTATTTATTTATTTATTTATTTGTTTGTTTATTCATTCATTTATTCATTTATTCATTTATTCATTTGTTTGATTTCTAGCCCATCCCCCCCAGACAGCTTACAAATATCGAGGTCCCAAACCGTTTAGGACTTTATACATCATCATTAACACTTTGAAGTCAATGCGGAAACAAATGGGCAGCCAATGCAAGGGAACCAGAGTGGGAGAGAAATGCTGGTATTTTCTCATCCCACTAAGGAGTCTGGCCACAGTGTTCTGCACCATTTGAAGCTTCCGCATCAATCTCAAAGCTAGCCCCACATAGAGTGCACTACAGTGGTCTAATCTCAAGATTACAAGCGCATAGATGAGAGTGGTGAGGGACCCTCCATCAAGGTAGGGTCGCAGCTGGGCCATCCACCACAGATGGAAATAGGCAGAACAGGCCACGGACACTACCTCGGTTTCCATGGTGAGCACCTGATCCAGATGGACCCCCAAGCTGTGGATCCCACTCTGTGCAGTGAGAGTCACCCCCCCCAAAAGAGAGGGAGTTTCCCAAACCACCAACGGAGGGGCCACCCACACTTAAGACCTCCGTCTTGTTCGGGTTCAGCCTCAACCCATTCAGCTGCATCCATTGCAGTACGGCCTCCAAAGAGCGCTGAAGGGACAGAACAGCATCCACTGAAGTAGGTGAAAAGGAGATGTAGAGCTGGGTGTCATCAGTGTCTTATGAAGAAAGACTGAAAGAACTGGGCACGTTTAGCTTTGAGATAAGAGGACTACAGGGAGATAAGATAGCACTTTTCAACTGCTCAAAATATTACCATACAGAGGAGGGGCAGGATCTGTTCTTAATTATTACAGACTGCAGGACATGTAATAATGGGCTCAATTTACAGGAAGCCAGATTTCAACTGAATATCAGGAAAACTTCCTAACTGTTAAGAGTAGTATGACAATGGAATCAATTCAGGAGGTGGTGAGTGATCTAATGTAGAGGCATTTAAGAGAAAACTAGCCAACCATCTGACATATATTTTGATTTGGATTCCTGTACTGAGCAAGGGGTTGGACTCAATCACCTTATAGACACTTTCCGACTCTGCTATTCTGTGATTCTATGGGTTTCCCAGCTATTAATAGCAGTAATTTTTCATTTTGCATTGAGTTCTGTTCTGAAAACCACTTCTAGTCTACCAAAGTGGTTGTTCCTGGATAAGAATTTATTTATGATTTATATTGATGGATGCCTAGGTAATTATCATTTTTTTTTTGCTCCTCAAACACTAAATTAACTGTCCATTGGAAAGATCATCATTGCTGTAGTCAGAGAATTTGCCCCTTTTGGTGTAGATAATGGTACATTTACCAACACCAAAATCCACTGTTATGTGTACTGTAAGTCTCAACAATGTTTAAGAGTATTCAATTAATCAGGAGAGCTTGCAAATAATATAAATGGACAATGTTCAGCTAAGGATGAAACATCAAGGCATTTTTTCTAATAATGATGCTTATAACCTTGGGCAGTATCAATTTTTCAGACAGAAAATTTAAAGGCATGCAGAACCACAAAGGGATTAAAGAATCACCCTGAAAAATACAGAGAGGTCATCTCTACACCTCAGTGTTCCTCCTCTTCTTCATAAGTTTAGTTAGTGAAGTAACAACTCTGTAATCAATGATTCTATTATCAATATTGTATATTCTCAGTAGAAACCATCAGTGAGGCACAGAATCAAAGGCCTTTTGTTAATCAATATAAGCAACTAATACGTTTCTGGTGTTTCTTTGAGCATGATTTAATATGAAGGAATCAATAGTAAGCAATTTTTCAACACAGAATATCTGTTGTCTATTAGGGCAGTGTTCCTCAATCTTGGGCCTCCAGATGTTCTTGGACAACAACTCCCCAGAAGCCTTCACAACCACCTTTGCTGGCCAGGATTTCTGGGAGTTGAAGTCCAAGAACATCTGGAGGCCCAAGGTTGGAGAACACTGTATTAGGGCATTCAATAAAATTGTAAATGTTTTGGGAAAATAATTTATTCAAACAAACAACTGTAAAATGTGGGTAATCAGGTGATCGTTCGGTAATTTATAGCAGTGGTTCTTAACCTTTGTTACTCTGATGCTTTTGAACTGCAACTCCCAGAAACCCCAGTCAGGACAGCTGGTGGTGAAGGCTTCTGGGAGTTGCAGTCCAAAACACCTGAGTAACCCAAGGTTAAGAACCAGTGATATAGGATCAGAACAATTGCCAGATTTATAAAGGAGATGGGTTATTATATGTGCAAAGAATTCTGGAATAAGAGTAGAGTTGCCAAGGGCTTCGTTAAAAACTTTAGACAGGTGTACATTAGTTAAAATCATTTTTCAACCAAACATTATGGATCTCATTTCTATTATTATATGTTAAGCAAGATGTCTGATTATTTATTTCTGACCAGAGGACTCCCTCCACCCCAATGCAAAATGACAGACCACTTCAAAATGTTCCCACCCTCGGGTATAAAAGTTTTGTTGTGTTTAATGGAAAGGATCTCTCTCTCTCTCTGTGTGTGTGTGTGTGTGTGTGTGTGTGTGTGTGTGTGTGTGTGTGTGTGTGTGTGTGTGTGTGTAAAACACACAATAAAAATTGTTGAAAAATTCAAGACAAACTTTTGAGCCACCACCAGTTTTCCCCCTCCCTCTTCCATACTGCTCCTTTGATATGTATAAAATATTTATACCAGTACCTGTGGTGGGAAGATCCAGTAGAAGATGTACTGAAGGCTGGCTGACAGAACTGTCTCCAAGCGATTCCCTACTAACACTTCTCCCATCTGAACAATCCACAGTGTTATCTTTCTGGCCTTCGTCAGAATCCTTCAGAATTTCTTCCATAGCTTTTTCCACTTGTCCAACTTTATTTGGAAATATCTATTTTTAAAAAAGGAATAGCCACTAATATTTTTAGTAAGAATATCTTCTTTTAAATTAGTCTACAACAATTAGGGATTGCCTTTTGGGGTTTTTGGGCTGAGTAAATGAGATTTTAAATTTCATTTTTTTCCCTCTCATTTTTAATGAGTTTTTTTTTTAAAAAAAACTGTAAATTCTATATTTTAATTAATAGCCAAGGAAATGTTACCATGAGCTGGATTTTTTCATCTTTCGCAGAATGATGCTCTGTATGCTTATTAACCAACACATATTCTTCATTTAATACTGAAAGTGTTTCGGAAGAAACGCTGGTTTTGTCAAATGAAGGTCCAAGATCCATTTCCGAATTATGACCCTTTCTGCCAGACACTAAATGCAAAAAAAACCCACCATCAGTTACTAAATCACTTTCACCTTTCCACCTCTAAACATTCAAATTTTAATGTGAACAAATGAATACTTCACACAGTTTCAAGAATGATCTCAAATCACTTCCCAATATATTTTTCAAGGGGTCAATATGTTACATAAAAAGACAACCATCAAAAATTAAACATCAGGAAAAAAATAAAATAAAAAGAATGTATGGGCCAAAATCCTGACAGGCAGGAATGACAGCAGCAGAAAATTACTTTTGATTAAATACTTATTTTTCAACATCAGGGTGCATACAATTTTGTGTTAATGCATGCAAGCCATGCGCTCCCCAAATTGAAAAAAGAAATATTTAATCAGAGGCAATCTGCCACTGACAAGGATGTCATTCTCACTGCACAAGCAGATCTTCACAACTGGATTTTGGCCATAAAATGGTCCACATAAAACTGGGTAAGAGTTAAACTGCAAAGCAAGCAATCTAAAAATGTAATTGTCCAAATATATAAGTATTTCCCTATTAACTCTTCTGCAAAGCATTCTTTTCTTTCCTCACTAGAACCAATACTCCAAAAATCAAAGATTTCTAAAAACACTTTTCTTGATTTGCAAAATAGAAGATCATGACAACATGCAGTTTTTTGTAAACTGGTAAGGATAGGGACTGAAAATAATCCAAAATCATGAGCTTTTTAAATCAAAAGTGTTACAATCCTAAACGAATACCCAAGGACGGGTATACAGTATATATAAATGTAGGCCTATAAAACAAAAAATATTTTTCCCAAAAGACCCAAATTAAATAACAATGTAATAAAGGTGGACACAACTAAACAGAATGTGAGATGCTATTGTGAGTTGTTACAGAGGACTGCTCCTCGATATGTTTTTATACAACTGTAAAGAACCACCATGGTGAACTAAAATTCCATTTAAAAAATAATTTGATAAAAAAATTAAATGACAGTTCTGAGCCCAATTTTTTTAACTGAAAACAAGCAAAAGAGGATGCAATGGTATACACTTTCTAGAGAAGCAGTACATTAGTGCTCATACACATCTTAAATCCTATTGCATAAATTATATCACATAAGGCTAATGACATCAGCAGTGGCAGCAATTTTTCAGACATTTCTGATTTGCCCCTTCCGAAGATCCTTAGGATCCAATGAAATCCCTTTCATCATTAGGAAACCACTACAGGCTGCAGAATGGGGGTGGGAATGGGCAGTTGCTAATTACCAAAAATGACCCTTAGTAAACTTAACCAGAAAGCTGTGATTTTCAGTACTTAAAGACACCCTTCCGTCCATCAGACCCCAACAGCTTCCCAAAAACCACCTCCAAAAGAGGAGAGAAGCAGCTTGTACTAATTAACCTGATAATGGTTCGAGAACTACTGTATTTTCTTTATTTTTTTTTTTGAAGCACCATAGCTTTAAAAATGTAAAAGATCCCAGTACTGTACTGTATTTCTAGGTCCAGATGTACCCATGTAATGAGAACAGGGACATACAGTAACAGTGTGCTTCTATAACAGTGCTCACACATACTGAATTTTTAGTCCCAACACTATGATGTAAGTATGCTGTCAGAGCAACACAATGCTAGCAGTGTTCTCATTCACACATACACAAATTTGCAATACACAAATTTGCAATATGTATTTGAATTTAATGAACACAAAGCAATAGGGATATTTTGCAAAGTCCAGCAGGCCTCAAAAGGTGCTGCAGATCAGTGAAGCACACATGAGAATCTGGTAAAACTGTAATGCAACATTTGCTATGTCGTGGGGAACAGGTATAGGCTAATCAGACAGTTGTTGATGTAAGATACAAAGTGTTATTATTTCATGACCTTTATACTAATTCTGCCATCTCACAAATTATATTGTATATAATGTATATTTCACTAACTACTGATCAATACAGTTATACCTTATCTCTCCCAGAAACCACCAGAGATAATCCAAAAGTGACATGCTGAAAAATGACTTGCTCCAGCATATATAATTAATGACATATAAAAGAATATAGCACAATTACCTTCCACTGCTTCAAAACCATTCTACACAAATGGCATAGATACAGTAAAGAACTTTTATTTGGGAAAGCTATAATCTCTTCCATATTTGAAAAAAAGCTATACCTTCCCCCACTATTCTTCTGATTTTTGTTTAATAGCCAAATGCTTCTTTATGGAAGACACATGAAGAAAACAGCAGTAAACTGGCAGTGTTTCATTGCTGTGTGTTTTGAACAATGTCATGGTAAATTATGGGGCTGAGGGTTATGGAAAGCTCCAGTTCAAAAGTAGTTATAAGCAGTGATTCATCTGCTACCAAAATGACATGCTAACCAAAACATAGGAAGTGCCACCCTTTCCATGTTATGACATCATGCCACATAAGCAGCTGTGAATGCAAAATTATTGCTTTAGCTAATTCAGTTACCTACAATACAGTTGTTATTCACATGACAGAAAACAGCTACCTAACCAATACGCATTAGTTTAATTGAAATAAATTTTTCTCTTCTCAAAATCCAACAAGAAATTTATATAGCTAAATTCTGAAATATATTTAAATAAAAATTTGATGTGAAAAATTATCTGCTCTTTCATTCTTTCTAGAATTAACCCCTAAATGTTCATTCTCGTTCTATATAGTACTTATTTTGTTCTAGAACGGCATACCACAGCCTATGGGCCACCAAAAGACTGAGATACTTTGGGGTGAGCCTTAATGTCACAGCTTCACTATCCCATCTCCTTTGCTTGCCCCATGGTCATTGGTCACTGCCAGAGCCAGCAGCTTTCAAATACTAGTTAGAGAGGAAGGCTTGGCACACATAAGGGAGATAAAGGTAATGCATGGACAGAGCAGCTAGCTGACTGTGACAGAAGAAAGTGAAAGAAATGGAGGGAGGCACAAGGAAGAGAGAGAGAGGCACCAACGCTTTTGCTATGTCTCCTTTAGAAGAAGCTGGCAGTGAGCAAAGATGCAGGGAATGGGAAATCTGTGTATGTGTCTGTGCATGTGGTGGAGGCTGAGAAGCTAAAACAACATAAAGCTAGTCAAGAAACAGAGAAAACAGTTGTGAGAGGGGAGGTCTCTCCTTTCTCTGAGTGAAAAGGACAGATGTGGCACTGAAGGTACTTAGAAAAAGAAAAGCATTATAGGTAAAAACAAACTAAAAGTAAAAAAAGGCAAAAACATGATGGCACCTTAAACACTAACGTTTATATTTTTAATGTTAGCTTTTGTGGGTACATTAGCACACATAAAAATATATAAGTTAGTATTTAAGCTACCATTATGTTTTTGTCTTTTGTCTTTTTTTTTTTACTTTTTTTTTACTATAATCCTTGCACCAATTAACATGGCTATCTCTTCTTTATCTAGAAAAAGAAAATGTTCCCAAAGGAACTTTAAAAAGAAAGCCATGTTAGTCTGTGCAGGCATAAACTTTCTTTCTTGCGAAGAAAATGGAGGGGTAAAGCATTTTCTTCACAAGAAAATGGAGGGGGAAAGCAGGGACTTTCTTGGCAAGAAAGCGGAAGGGGAAAGCAGGGATCAAACCGATCCTACAGCACTTTGATCCCTGCTTTCCCCCTCCACTTGCTAAGCCCCACTTAGATTTATTAATTTTGGTTTAGAAAAATGTGGGGGGGGGGAGAGACTTATACATGGGGGGTCTTATACATGGAAAAATACGGTACGCATTCCTGCACATATAGGAGAATGTGACTAGCTGTCCCACTGAGAGCATCTGGATCAATGTAGTTGGGGCAAACCAAAAGGAACTTGTTAGTTGGAGTCTACTACCGACCACCCAATCAAGGAGAAGATGCGGATGAAACTTTTGAAAAATAGATTGCAAGGAATTCAAAGAGACACTACGTAGTACTGATGAGAAATTTCAATTAAACAGATATATTTGGGAGGCAAATTCTGCCAAGTATGGACAGAACAATTATCCCAAGCACATGAGCAAATTTACAACAGAATGTCTGAAAAAGAAAAGAATCAAGGTGTTTCAGTGGCCCAGTCAAAGGCCAGACTCAACCCAACTGAAATGCTGTGGCTGGAGCTTAAGAGAGCTGTGCATAAACAAATGCCCACAAACCTCAATGAACTGAAGCAACAGAGAGTTCAGGCTTGATTTGAATGAGCACCCACTTTTCTGCTTTTCTAGCTGTCTGGTACTAATCTGTACCAACACCATGTTTCAAATGACTTGCTTTTTTTTTACCCTGCCTGAGCGCACACACCCCGCATGCACGGCCTGCCCATCCGCACACACGGGTGTCCCACCCTGTGACCGCCCACCGCAAGCGCCCTGCACCACCCGCACATATGTGCAAGTGCACCCCACAAGCATGCCTGCACCATCTGCATATGTGCAAGAGAGAGCACCACCCCGCGAGTGCTCCCTGCACTGACCCCACACCCCCAACCAGTCCGCAGGTCAGAAAACTTTGGGGACCCCTGGTCTACAGGATACCCTCTTCTTCTCACCACCTTTCACACTTGTTGAAAAACAGCCCTGACAATTGCTTTGTGTTTGGTTGAGAAGTGGCCAACTGATGGGGAAAAATGAGCCCTGACTTGGGATTTTCCCATGTGGTGTCATTTTGTGAATGGTAGCATGAGGGAAGAAATCATGCATTTGCTTATACAGATCTAGAGAATCATTCTGTGTTTGTACAATGTGAACAATGTGGAAGCCAAATCAGAATGTACATCAACAGTCTTACTTGAAAAACACTTTGTAAATAACTCACACTGAGGTGCTGATGGTCTGGAAACTATCATCATTTGGAACTCTTCTGTCAGCAAGCCCCTTACTTCTCCTAACTCAGCAAACCTCTGCCAATCTTCCCTAAAGAAAAACTGTTTGGATAGAGTGCATGCCAAATTTCTGCATAATGTAACTCTGTTCCTGCCTAACAAAGAATATGTATTACTATACCATAAAGTTGCACACATTTTGTTCAAGCAGTAAATGAATAGGCATACATTTATAAACACATGGGACAGATATTATATTCCTAACAGAATGAAAATGGAATAAGTGCTGGTGACATAATCAATTGAGTTGCTTTTCAGATTCAAGTACACTTCAATAGGACAATCAAGATTATGGGACAAGCATAAGAGAAACATAACTGTAAATATCAAATAGTGTATGTTCAAATTTTTCAATGTTCAATATGACATGGCAATACAGTATTTGTGGAGTGTTAATTTTAAAGTTTTTCTTTTAATTTTTCACTACTCTGTCATGTGCTGATCCATTTTGAAATGTACGTACCTGGTGCAAAAGTAAGATTCTGAGCATATCTCTCCACAATAATTTTCCAATCCAAATTTTTTGTTTTACCTTTCTCACTGAAACTAACTTGCAGCTGTTAGTTATGCTCTGCAAGGGGAAGTACGTTTTAACACAAAATACCATTACGCTAGAAACAAGCTATGTGGTGGAATATTTTAAAAAGACAACACTTTTGAAGGTACCAGTACAACATTAGGAAAAACATTTAAAGGACGTAGTTGCAAATTACAAAGGTTGTTCAAGAAATATGCTGCTATAGATTAGAACACGGTAGCGAACACATAATGTTGGACTGTTAACTCCCACTGGCCTTTGAATGTTATCCCCTTGCCAAAAACTACCGTGTCAAATTGAACACTACAAGGTTCCCTCTAAGACGTGTGACTGTGTGCACCCATGACTCTGACCCCTCCACGCAGCTTTCCTCTTCCTCTGCGCAACTCCTTTGCTTCTAGTTGCAACAGAATCCCCCGTGTGTGGGGGTGCAGAGTCAGGTATGCACACAGGGGAAACATTGAGAGAGAGAGAGAGAGAGGCAGAGCCCCACCCAGCAAGGCTGAAAATTAGAGGGCACTGGCACATAGTTTGAAATTCATAATACAATTTATCTTGTACTTGTCCCACAATCCTGGTTGTTCTGTTCATGTTTACTTGAATCTGGCAAGTAGCTCAGTACGCCTGGAGAAATCTAAACCATATCAGTTTGAAGAAACCACTGAACTGACTATACTTCTAAACCCTGGCGCGTCAGGGTGGGGACAAACAATGTGGCATTCCTAGAAGCTGGTCTCCAGGAGAGAAGCATAAGATGAAAGCACACACTGAGCTCAAAGCTTCCCAAAGATGCACCTATTCTTAGGGCTCCTCAGAAGATCTAAGAATGTTTTGAGGAGAAAGGTCCTACTTAAGGGAAACTGTGGCTGAAGTGCCTCCATATGAGTCTAGGGCAGCGATGGCAAACCTATGGCACGCAGAGAGCCCTTTCCGCTGGAGCCATAGGTTGCCAGATCGCTACTCCCCCTGCCCCTGTGCAGCCAAACCTCAGGAGGCGGCTACAGCCAGTGCTGGCGCTTCAGCAGGCAGATCCGGAGCAACTGGTGCTGGCAGCAGAGGGGCCTCGAGGCACCTCCCTGCTGCAATTCCTCCTTCTGCTGCCACTTCCGGTTCTGGGTCCGCACTTCCGGTTCCTCCAGGCCTGCCACAGCAGCACACCAGCCACTGTTTTGGGTTTTTTTTTCCCAGTTTGGGCACGCAATCCCAAAAAGGTTCGCCACCACTGGTCTAGGGTGAGATGAAGGTGGCTCAGCTACAAATGCCTGAATATAAGGCTGAAGGAATTGCTGACAACAATATCTGCATCTAGGTACAAATGAGGTCAGCTGCTTATGAACAAGCCAGATGGGTTCAGCTGTTCATCAGTATGAACCAACCACTCTGGCTCTGCCCATCTTCTTAGTCCCTGGATCTGGACTGCATTAAAACCTGCTTTTTTAACCACGCCATTTTGGCTTGTTCACATTCTGAGTTAGATTCTACTAGGCGGAAGCCTGGATTGCCTCTGTCCATTTCCAGAACATCTCTACTGGCTGCACCGCCTCTCTGGCTGGACTTTGTTATCTTGACCACTGCATTGCTTTTGACATTGCCTCTAGGTTTTTTCCCTGGGATTACCTGCCCTAAGTGCAGCCATATCTATTAGAGACTTCTGTCTATGAAGATTTCATTGTTGGAACTTGCTTGGTGATGGACTATGGAAAGTGCAGTCACTTAACATCCAGGGTGCCACATGTTCTCTGGATCTGGGAGATAACAGCATACTCTATTTTGTCAGAAAATCAAAATGCCTTATACCAGCTGTACTACTAGTCCATCTAGTTTAGTGCCATCCATTTTGACAAGAAGTAGATTTTCATATTTTAATTTTGAGTCCTTTCCAACTACTATGTGGGGTACTTTGAATAAAGAACTCTTTAAATTTTCTGTACTCAAAATATGATTTTGTAGCACTTGTCCAATATAATTTGAAAATACATTATTCAGGGTGCATTTGATTTAAATCAAAACAGTTTAAATCACTATTTAAATAAAAATGAAGTTTGATTATTTAAATTAAAAAACATTCTTTAAAATTCAAATCATGATTTAAATTATTATTTATTTATTTTTATCTACCCTGACATTATTACATGTTACATTATTATACTATCCGGTTTGTCCAAACAACTGGTTTATCATACTTCAAAATAGCATATCAGACCATTTCCTATGTACTCCTAATTGTTCACAGATGTCTTAGATCAAGATTTCTGCTTGAACAGGACACTCTAACACAAGTTAGTTGGCCACCTTGAGTCCTTCTGAGAAGAGGAGAAAGGTAAAAGTATTCCTGGGGTTGCAGCCTTAAACATTGCAGGAATTTGCTGAATTTACCACAGAGAAATAACTATGTTTCTGTAAAGTCAATATTTTTTCAAGCCTTGTCAGCTTCAAGTATATCTTACTTGAAACCACTTTGTCAAGAGAGCTAGAAATGAAGCTTTTAAGGTGAGGGTAGATAGTATCACATCACAGGAGGACTCTACAGCCTGTGAATCAAGTTTCCATACAATTTACTGTTGAACACCAACAAAAAAACAGATCCAAACAACAACTTTCTGTCAAGTTTAGTAATAATGTATAAATGCTTCTTGCTTCTATAAAAATCAAGCAATTCTTGAAAGATAATAAATAGAGGGAGAATTTTATGACATTTCACATTTTCTCTTGCAATCTCCATTTGAACCCATAAGCAAGCTCAGACATGTTTATGAGTAATATGGCCTTTCTTACCAGATTACTCATAAACATGTTCAAATTCACCCATAAGTTAAAACATAGGTTGCAAGAAAAAAATATGACATGTCATAGAAATCCTCCCCCTAGTGATAAGGGAAGTCCTATCAAAATCTAAAACAGGGCAAGAACTTTGGTCTCCTCACCAATTTTCTAGATTTTCCTGAATACATAGGATTTCTCATTATAAAAGTCTAATGACATCTTCAGAAATTAATGTACAGTATTTATTGCCTCTAGACATCCCTAACAAGAACACCTATACCAGACACCGACTGTTTTTTTTTACAAAAAGAGAAAAGTCTGTACCATAGCATCCTTACTTCCGTCTGTATCCCTTTAACATTGAAACGTCTCCATTCTTAATAAAGTTAACAAAATAAAAGGATCTGATAAAATGAATGCTTTAGGGACTGCATCCCGAAAAGTCTGCAGGCGAGACAAACTACTCTTGCTACAAACTCTTGCCTGTCAGAAAGCAAACTCCTCTTGCTACCAAACCCCAGGACAAACTCTTGCCTGTCAGAAAGCAAGCGTGCCTTTTCTTCTTCTTAGCTGTTGTTTCCATTTGGGGGGGGGGAGAGAGAGAGGAAACCACAAAAGGACCCACATACCAACACACACACGCGCGCGCACTCCTGTCTTCCTCGAAAGGAAGTCGAGCCAGACAGACA